AGACAGCAGAATTTCAAGAAGGTTTCCCCCAGTGACAGAATACATCAGAGATAAACCCCAATATGCGAAAAACACACCCACACCGGAAAGGTTGAGAAACAGATGAGGTCCAACATGTATCAGATGATAAGTTTTTAATAGTTCAAGTTTATCATTTTGATCTCCAATAGTCATTTCTCCAAGGCACTCTGTTTGGTAACCAGTTTCTTGCCATCCTTCTATTATAAGTAGAAGGCAATCACTGGAGGTCTCGGTCTTTGGGCTTCCACTGCCATCCACAGCCTTCTGGAGGCCAGAGCTGACACTTCAGCCCTGAGATGATCCCCTCCTTCATCTTCAGATTCTGAGTTACAATCCTTTGGTCATGGATGATGGTCCCAGACACTTTTATTCTATAGCAGGCCATCATCTACTCTCTTTACCATCATTTGCTATAGTACCCATATCTTCTGTGTTCTCTTCCTGAAGGCGAGTATCAAGCAAGGCCATGATGTAAGAGCTAATTGTTAATCAATTGGAGCTAGGATTTAGTGGGAGCCCAAAACCTATTCATGGATCTATGTTCTTATAATTGGTCTTTGACTCCCTTTAGTGATCTCCTTGTTAAATTATGGTAGAAAGTCTTATTGATCATCTCCTTGGAACTTAAAGACCTTTCCTCAATATTGTTTAGCTCCTTGTACTAATTGTTAATTTAAAAAAATTTTAAAACACTGTTCAGAGAGCAATATTGGGCCAAAGCAAGCTACCTCCATATTGCAATAGCCGAATTACTCACTTGTACGGAATAAATCCTTTCATGACTGGACACTATTTACACAAACAATGGGAGTGGTTGTCAGAGAAAATTTATAATAATATTCACTGGCAGTATCCATCACAGGTTTGCTGGAATAATATTTATCTTAATACAGCATTTAGGGCATTGATGTAGTATGCCAATGATTGTCTGCCTACTGACAGTTTAATATTCTTTGTAGAGCTGTCTTCTGCTTCTTCAAGCACCATGAATTCTAGGTCTTAAATCCACGGGTTCAGATGTGTTTGTGGTGGAGTCCGGTTCACCTAGTGGAGTTTTCACATCCGATCTCTCTGGGGCCGCCTTTGGAGGCGTTGTGCTCTTTGCAGATCTAGGATTCAACACCCCAGAGCTTTATAACATTTGGCCTGCATTTCCAGGGTGTGTCCAGAAAACTCAGGCCACTGTGACTTACTGGGTACATAATAAGAAGCAATTCACACAATTCTGTGAGATACCATTGATAACCAGAGCATCATGACATTACAGACTTTAAACCACCTAGATAACAGTTGTTAGGTTCGGTGCCATTGAGTCAACTCTGACTCCAAGCACCGCTCCATAGAGAATGGCAAAATGAGACACTGTCCAGTCTAAGGCTGCCCCTCAGTTGATGCTATGCTTCAGCCCATTGTTAAAGCCATTGTATCAATCCATTTTATTAATAGTTAGTCAATGTTTCACTTCACAGGCATTAATCATATTGTTACTCAAAATGCTATTTTAAATATAGAAAAAAATAACAGCATATACGTATCTTTTTCCCGTCAGTAAAATGTCTCTTTTTCAGACCTCAGATAACCACAAGAGTCTGTGTGCATTTTGGAAGTACTCATCTCACACAATGAATGGCAGCTGGTCTTCAGAGGGCTGTGAGCTGACGTCCTCCAATGAGACCCACACCTCCTGCCGATGTAATCACCTGACACATTTTGCAATTTTGATGTCTTCTGGTCCTTCCATTGTAAGGCATAGTCCTCCTCTTATTATAAATCTAGCTATATGTCTTTTTCTGTTTTGGTCTAGGTCATTCAGGAGAATTATTTTTTTAATGAAAATAGCTTAAAGTGCTTAATAAAAGCCCCAAATTATTTGTTTCCTTTTCAGTCTTAGCTTTCTCCCTGACTTTGGGGAAATATTTAGTTTAGGGTTTGGACCATCCATATTTATTCTGGAAATCAAGTACTACCTTACATGTTGTTCACTAATTCAACTATCCGTGCATTGACTTTTACTTTTTAAGGTTGCTTCAAAGGACCATTTGTATATTTTCTGTGACACTGTGTTTTAGGGCCTTTGACTTTGTACTCAAAGTTATTTTTACCATTGACAAAGTACCAGTACTTAAAAATGTTTGAAGCTGACCAGTATTTTAGCAATCGGTTAGTAGATACTCATGTTGTTTGAGAACATGTACATTATGCTTAAGGTGAGTAGCTTCACAATGTGTACTTTACA